GCCAAGAGAGTTCCTTTCTTTTTTCCTTGTGGGACTGAGATTTGAACTCAGAGCTCCACACTTGCAAAGCAGGTGCTCTACTGCTTGAGTCACACCTCCAGTCCATTTTGCCCTTGTTATTTTGGAGATGGGGGTCTCATGAACTATTTGCACAGGCTGACCTTGAGCTGTGATCCTTGTGCATCTCAAGGCCTCCCAAGTTAACTTAGGATTACAGGTGGAGTCACTGGCCACTCAGCTGAGTTAATTTTAAACAGGAAGGAAGTTGATTTTTTCCAAATTTTCTCAAAGGTTAGCTTACTGCAGGTATTTCCTAATCATTTAGCCATACTAATTAACCTTCACTACTACTGCAGTGCCTACAAGAATTCCCAAGTGTTTATGTAAAATTTTTCATCTGTATCCAAGAGAGAAATTGGGCTATTGCTTTTTGTCTTTAATTCATTGTTATTTAAAACTCTGAGGCTGGGACTTCCGTAGGCTATTTGATTCTGGTCAGTTTTCTCAGCACCTCGACGAGTCCATGGTTGAGCAGCAGATGTTACCATAGGTCCATCCCCATTTGGATTTCCAATATATTGGAGATACTTTCATAGATTTTATTTTTATTTATTGAGGAATTATAGAAGGATAGCCTTTTGTTTTCTTCCTTTCCTGTTTCCTTCCCATTCTCTTCCTTTCTCTTTTTCATTCGTTTTCTTCACTTTTTGTTGTATAGCTTATCTTCATGTTTTTTCTGGTTCCTTATTTCTTTATGTTTTAGTCTTGTATTATTTTCTAATAATGAACTAATGTCCATACATGTTAGAGTCTTACATGGGTCCACTTTCCCTCATCTGGTGCCCTGGCAAATTCTCTCAGCTTCCCCTTTGACACGTACAACAGGAATCTGGGCCGCATCACCTTTTCTGCTGCAGCCACCCTGACCAAGCTATCACTGTCATTGTGAATGATTTGTTGACATGCTTCTTGCGTTGGGCGTTCTCCTTGCCTCCAGCTGGATCTCCCTTCAGGCCATACCAACCATAGAACCTGAGCGTGAACTATTCCCCATAGTTGTTTATACTACAGTTAATAGCAGTTCTTTTTAAGTGCGGGAAAGCTTTTAAGGATCATTCTGTCTTACTTCCAACACGTGATTACAAGAAACAATTCTGTGTGTGTGTTGTGTTGTGTGTGTTGTGTGTGTATGTTGCTACACGTGTTGTACAGAGGTGAGGGAGGAGAGTGTATTGCCTTTTTAAAGGACTGTTGGCTCTTCCCCCGCCAGGATTACAGGAAGATTGAAGAGTAGTTCTGAGCAGAGGCTTGCTCAGAACTGTGGGACTTCCTACTTAAGGAGGGTCCACATGCTCACTTCTTTCATTGTCCACCTTTGAACCTCACTGAGGGCTGCTCCTGCTGTTTATCTTTTGTCTCCAAATGCTCGTTGATCTGGGTCAGAACCCTGCTGTGAAGGCCCCTCCAAGGTTCACTCTGCTTTCCAGGGTGAAGACTTACTCTAGTGTTTTTCTCACACTGACTCCAGCCACCCTGCGACAGCCCAACCCATCCCAGTCCAGCAGCAGGTTCTGTAGCTAGATTAAATGACCAATCTTAATTTAGTTGCATTCATAAGACATTATAAGAAGGCCAGCAATTATGGGCATGCACTGAATCTAAATATAGACCCTCTTCCTGTTATTCCATAGTCCAAGGAGAAGATTTATATGCCAAGATTAAATTCTGTAACATATTCAAGCCTAAAAACTTTCAAGTACAAAAGAAACTCCAAATCTCTTTGCCTGATGGAACTCAGGAGCCTCCTTCCTGCGTTTCCCCCTCAGTGGAGGGGGTGTCCAATTCCTGGTCAAGACTGGGTGCATTTCAGCAGCTGATGTCCAAAGCTGTGTCACACAGCGTGTCCTTGTAGGTCTTTTGTGGGCCTCAAGGGACCATTCAATATGCCTGCCACAGGTTCTGCTATATAATCCATTTAGATTGTATAGTTCCATTAGGTTCTCTGCCTTCCTACCAAGTTAAACCTGGCAGGGAAATTGTTGCCAAGATCCCGGCAGAAGCCCAGAGATATCTGAGCCAGGCCTGCATTGATCAGGAAAAACCTTGCTTTGAATTTCTCTGTTGTGCAAGAAGGGCTGCCTTGATAGGGCCTTGAGTCCATGACCCCAGAAACTACTAAGGTAGGAATATTAACTCCAAGATGGGGTGAATTTAGACTCCTAGGGGCTTGCCATTCAAATGTTTGTGTCCCACAAAACCTCCTGTTTTTAACCCTGTGCATTAGGAATGTTTGGTTTTGCACCCCAAATGCCTTGTTGAAGCTTTCTGGGACCTGAGATAACTGCTGCCCAGAGATGCGTTATATCCCTAAAAGGTTTTGAATCTCTGGAACCAAGCAGAAAAACCTGAAAAGAGGAGCCTGGAGCTCAGGAAAAGATTCAGGGTTTGTCCTTTCAGATGCCTCTATGGCCTCAAGTTTGGAATTAGAGTTGCGACTGTGGGTGGCTTGTGTGTTCACCTGGGCTTGGCCCCTCACACTCTGAGAAACAGCTGTGCCAGCACCTAAAGCGCTCTGTATGTCTGCCATTTGCTGATTGATTCAGATATCTTCCCAGGCCAGATTGAGGAATTTCTTTGCTGGAAACCTCTGGTCTCTGCTGAAGCTCCTGGAGACTTGCCTGTCCCTTCGTAGCCGCTGGAGCCAGGCCCTTTTGCTGTGTTGGAATCTGTCCCAGTGTGATTACTGGCATTGGCCCAACCATTCCTTCTGGGGGAGGCCAAGGAGCTGAGAAACACTGTCACTTGAGGACAGAGCTTGCTCAGCATGCCAGCAGTCTGCCAGGACTACTCCCATGGCTCTTGGAGTGATTGAAGTCCTGTAGGTGTAGGTCAAACTTCTGTAGCTGAGACAAGTGGGCCCTCTCGTTGGCTAACGGGCTGACTTCCAAGTTGCTCCCTACCCCTGCTGGCTATTCCTTTTGCTGATTTCTTCATGTTCCCCAACCTATGCATTTGATTTTTGGGGTTTCCAGCAGTGACCCTTTCTCTGCTTAGGCTCTGGAAAGATAATAGAACAGAGATAAATCCTTAGTGGTTGAGGAAGGCCTCTTTGGAGTTGTAGGAGCTGGCCTTTGGGAGATTGCTAGCCCAAGGCTTATGTCCAGTAATCAATATTTTCCCTCCCAGTGCCTAGAGAAGGCTGAGCCTCAGCAAGGTCATAGCTTGTGTCTAGAGAGCAGAGAAAATGAGTTGCTTTCAACGAGGCGGACAAATAAGGTGCATCCTTCTGTTCTCCCCATTTTCTTCAGTAAGTTGTTCTTTGCCTCCTTCCCTACCCCAGTTTGTCCATTTTTGCCACGACCATGGTAGGTGTTGTGCATAGTCATAGTGACTAAGACTTCCTGCTTACACACCCTGTGCTAACTGTCCTTTTGTTGTCCCAGAAACAAATTGTGGCATGGAGATGGTGAAGTAGGACCTCCTTAACCACATGGTGAAAGTCAGTTGAGCATTGTCTGTAGGGGTATGACCCTACCAGCCTTTTCAGGTAAACATGAATCGCCAGGCGTCGGTGCTTAGATTCTGGCTGGTTGAGGAGCCTCGGACAGCTGCTGCAGAGATCATGCATGTTGGTCCCAACTGGGAGGTTTTCTGCCTGAAACATTGTGGCATAAATGTGTTTGACATGTGCTTATCCTGAAGCTTTAGATGGAACCCTGAGACTTACATTTAAGAAAAACAATTTGATGATATCACCATATAGTCCAAGCTGAGTATTTATAGATATGTTTTTGTTCTTTTTATTTAAAAAAATAGAATTTATTTTCCCTGGCAGTGTAATTTTTTCTTGGCACTTCATCCTTTGATCTGCGACTGGAAAAATGTTACCATTTAAGACTCTGAAAACATGTCTTTGGATTTCATTGTGTGTACAAATGAAATTCAGATAATAGTTCTGCTTCTTAACCTGGAAGAAAAGCAGAAAGAAAATAAAATTTCTTCCTACTTGGAATGATAAACATTGAAGCATGTGCCTGCTATATCCTGCAACCAGAATTCGAAGGTCGCGAAATAATTTCCCTTTCCTCCGGAGTCTGCCTTCAAAGCCTCCCTGAGGAGTGTGTCGGCTGAAATTTGTTACTAATTGTTTACATAATTTTAGCCACTGCAGGTTAAAACACCATGATTTTCCTTCCAGCTGATGTCATTTTAGCTTAGTGTTGACATAGATTAAAAACCCAAAAAGCTTTCCGTTGACTTGGAATGGCCACTTTATTCAGATAGGTCACAAAAAAGTCACCATTATTTGCGGCACATTTACTTCATCCCATGCGCGAACAGATTGATCTTGCCTGTAAAATGGGTGAACAGCTTGGTGCTGCTATTATTAATTCAAGCTACTTTACTGTGTGACTTGAAGAAAGCCAACAGTTCGTGTGTATGATGGTTTGCTAATCCTTTGAAATTTAGAATCACTGTTGGGAGGAACTGGGTGGGACGAATCAGAGGTGGAAATTTGTGGGGTTGTTGGTAGTTAGGGAGAGATTCATTTTGAGGTCACTTGCAGGTTGCGTAGGGAGGGGGTCTGGGTGGTCTGAATGGCCCCAGGGCATGAGGCGCAGCCAAAGCCTAGCAGACCAGAGAGTAGAGCCTCTCCATGGAAGAGGTTTAAGGTACTTTACTGGGTACAGTGCTAAAATGGCAACAAACAAAGTGTGTATGTAAGCTTATGTTTCCACCATGTATGGTACATCCTGTTCATGTTTTTCCACCTTGATGTTCAGGCCTTCTTTCTTGCCAAGGTGTCTTGGGCCAGACCGTAGTATTTGTTACTGTTTACTTTGCGCTGTCCTCACTCCTTGTAGGGTCAGCCACCTGTCCGGTGTTGGACTGACCAGTTCCTCCTCCCCAGTCTTCTGATTTCTATGATGTGTATGTGTGCTTTTAACAGGTAGCCTGGGGGTTTTCCAATTCTTATAAACTTTGAATTGTTCTTTCAGATGGCAAGTTTGGTGCCTACATGCAGGTGCACCATTCAGAATGATGCGGCCTGGACCATAGAACTGGAATCCCCAGCTCCTGCCTGCTTAACCTCTTGATCCAAGCAGGTAAGTCTTAATCCCGGGCCTGGGTCAGTTTCCTGGGTATCAGTAACATGTCTTGATTTCAGTTTAGTTCCTTGGATTTAGTCTAAATATGAGATCGAAGAAACACTTCATTGAAGTATTCATTTTAATACCTCTCTTTCCAAGAATTACATGTTGTCAGTGTAATTCCGGAGCATGTGGCAGGTCGCGGGGACAACAAGAAAATGTCCTTTGCAGAGCCTGCTTCTTCCTTTGAGCTCCTGTTTCCTGTGCCAGGTGCTATGCATCCAAATTGGGCCACTGAGGTGGCAGCAGCACGTAGCGCGTCCTCGCCGGTTCACAAACATTCTGAGTTGGTTACCTGAAGAGGGTTTGTCCCCAGATGATGGGTAGATGAACCACCAAGTTCTTTGTAAGTCCTCATTTTTTCTTAAAGCAATGGCTGACCTGGATTTTTGGCCAACCTGTAAGCTTTCAGGGAAAAATAATGTAATAAAATAGAAAAAACGGAAATTTGTGCTTACTGGTAGCTCATGTGCTTACTACATTTTAAAGGTTTAGTTAAAGCAACCTACATGTGGCCACTGGAAGGTGGAAAAGACGGAATCAAGGGGATCCTTCTGTTCTCCTTTCCTTGCTTCCCTCCCTTGCCAGGATGTCTTGAAGTGGAATAATGACAGTGTGGGGAGATGTATGATAGAAAGCTTTGCGACATGTATGACTGGTACAAAGCTGAGAAACAAATATATGTATATGATAAATATATACTTTTTTTTTTTTAAAGGAGAGCCCAGAACCTTTCTTTTCTGTTACAGACACTTTTGCTTTTGATAGAGAAGTGGGAACATTGTATGACCCCACAATAATGCTAGACTTAAAAGGAGTCTTGGAATTACTTGGAATTGAGTGTCTTGGAAATTAATGATGACATTAAAAAAAGTTGCAAATGGAAAATCCACATGAAAAATGTAAGCTTTTTTGTTTTGTAAATAATTTGAGACTTACAGAAAAGTTTGAAAAATTAAACAGATTTACCTAGTTTCCCCTACTTTTAAGTCTTACATAATCATAGTACAGTGACTAAGACACTGTAATTAACCTGATAAATGGTACCATTTATAACTACATTATGAGCAAACTATGTTGGCCCAGGCTGTGTGTGTATTCCTGGGCTCAAGTGAATCCCTCCCATCTAGTGCCTCCCAAATGTGGGGACTGATAGGCATGTGCCACCCATGCCTCAACTTCACAAGGTGTTCTTGTGTTTAGGTAATTGGGAAGATTCCACATTAGGCAATAATTGTCCATTTCTCCTTGTCTCTCTCCAGTCTGTCGACAGTTCCTTGGTTTGTTTCGTGACCTTTGACACTTCAGAGTCTTCTATTTCGTGTACTTTCTCAATTTGTGTTTTCTATGATTACCACTGAGGTTATGCATTTTGGCAAGAATATCAAATAGCCACAAAGGTGAATCTTATTGTCCTTCTTACGTGAATCATCTCAGGAGATATGTGATATTGACTTGTCTTATTACATCACCTGCGTTTAAGGTGGAGTCTGTCTGATTCTCCTATCCTGTGTGACATTTTGCTTCTTTGCCCCCTGTCTCTCTTCTTGCTTGTTATGACAGACAGTTTCTTTCTGCTTGAAGAGAAAGAAGTCAGTGGATGGCTTTAGCCCTTTGCTTTCTCTCTCTCCGCCTCCCATTGTAGCAGTGGAGCTTTTCTATGCTGGACTGTGGCCAGCCCCTTGCCTGGGTCAGGAACTCAGTACAACATGGAAATGAGGCTCCCTTGTTTCAAAGTCTACTTAGAAAGGTTCCCCAGGGCAGGTTTTATTTTAGAGCACTTGACCCATGCGGCGACCCTCTGCTTTGCCTTTCATGCTTGATGTTCCTCTTGGGACCTAGAGATTCTTTTTTTTCTTTTTTGATGCGTACTTGGGCTTAACTCAGGGCCTCATACTGACTAGGTAAGTGCTATAACATTTGAGGCCATGTTCCTCTGTACTTTTTTGCTTTTAGGGTTTTACATTTTTGTTGCCAGCCTTCCTTGGACCTTGATCCTCCTACCTCTGCCTTCCGTAGTAGCGTGGGAATTATAGGAGTATGCCACCGATGCCTGGTTGTGATTTCTTACTTCTTTGGTAGTACTGGAGTTTGAACTTTCAGGGTCTTTGCATTGCTAGGGCAAGTCCTCTACCACTGAGCCATACCCTCAGTTCATTGGTTTTTTTGACGATAGATCTCCCTAACTTTTGCCTAGCTGCCTCAAATCTTGATCCTCCCTATCTCCACCTCCCACAGTAGCTGGCATGAACCACCATACCCGATCCCCTAGAGATTCTTTTAATTGTGGGTTTTCTTAAAACATGGTTGATGTCTCTGAGAAATAAAGACCATGTGATTAAAAAAAAAAGAAAAACGAATTTAAGATGGTGACTCAGAGCATTAAAAACCACTTGCGATATGTGCGTCTATGTGACTGTAAGGAGTCCACGCTCCGGGGAGCCAGACTTGGCCTGAGCTCCTGCCTTTTCAGTTAGCCTCACATAGCCCTCTTCCTCTCTTGGACAAATATGTATTTCTCTTTCACTCATTC